AGGCCTCTTTTACGCAGAGGAAATCAAACTTGAAAATTTAGGTCTATGTTCGGTGAAAGATTCGCTAACATAATTCCATTGTTGCCTTTACACCACCCCTAGATCTGTCTCTGTTAATAGAATATGGCCATAGGTTGGGGGATGCATACATACTAAATATGAATAGGGATATATATTTTTTTTTATGTGACCATGCCTTTGATTTCAATTTTAATGTAGTTTTAATATTTTTTTAACATTTTGAATGTTCATATCTGATTTTGTAATTGCCTACCTCTCTATTATCTACATTTAACCTTCCTGTATCAAATAGTTTGTCTCCTTTATTTCCAAAAATATATTCTTATGTCTTATTGATGAAGTACTTGACTATATATACTGTCTCTTATACACATCTAGATGTGTATAAGAGACAGACCCCGCTGTAGTTACCCAGCTACGACTTTTAAACAAGAACATGTCAAGATCCTCATATACTGCATCTATTGTGTCCATTAGCGATGTTATGCTTGGAAAATTGAACTTGATGTCTCGTTTAGTTAACTAGTTGTAGAGGGCATTCAACAGCAGGGTCTAACCTCAGCATCCTTTTGCCATAATATCTCCACCCGAGTTTTTGGTAACTGATAGTGTTGTAAAAAGCTGGAAGAAAAAAAACGTTTTTCACTTTTCTTTCATTTCATTAACAAAACAAATTTTAAAATAGAGCAGCCACTCCACATATATATTCGCCCTGTGCCTAATACCAACAATATGCAGGCTGTGTATGATAGGCAATACTGCAGAATACCCTCAAGAAAATAATGGAATCGCCCATTGTATTCAGGTACAGTATATTCTTGAGTGCTACCTGAATACACGGGGTGATTTTATTCTATTATTTTACCCTTGAGTAAATTAAATTTTTGTGATCTTCACATTTGACCTTTTTTCCAGAAAATTGAATGGCGTCCTTTGAATATTATGTACCATTCCACTAAATTTTATGATAATCCTTTCATTAGTTTATGCGTAATCTTGCTGACAAAAAGACAGACAACAGTAAATAGATAACCTCCTTTGCAGAGGTAATTAATGGATTTTTTAATTTAAAAAAAAAAAAAATCAAATTACCTCAGAAACAGTTGGATGGATTCCAATAGTTGCATCAAAATGTTGTTTGGTTGCCCCACACTTCATGGCAACTGCATACCCTTGTGTCACCTCCCCAGCATTTGGCCCAAGAATATGAAGTCCAACAACTCTCTCCTAAAAAAAGAAAACCAGATGCTTTGGTTAGTGTGACTTCTGTACATGCATTTACATTAGATCTCTGTTATATGGAGTAAATAGACCTTTCTGAAGTGTCAATCAAACTTAGCTGACCAATCAGAACAGGTGCAGGAATATGCGCATTTAACAAGCACACGTCGTCCCACAAATGCATTTGTTTGCGCATGTGGAACCTTAACAACAAGCGGGGCTTAGCCGAAAGTTCCATTATCAAAATGGGTCATAATTGTTAACCGAGACACATAGCCTGCTGTCCCTCAGGTTGATATCCTGGGGCCGATGTGGGGGGAGGGGATGGATGCGGGGAAGAGGAGGGATGCGGGGGAGGGGTGCAATTGTGCGGTCACATCCACCCAATTGTATTAAGAAAAACAATTGTTGTGTTGTATTGCTGATACATTATTTTATATCATTGAAAATATAGTACCAGTAAGATTTTTAAAAGTATGAGCGTGCAATTTCCAGGCACCTTGAAGTCCATGCTCACGCACCCCCTACTGCCAAATCCTGCATCCGCCCCAGATATCCAATCAAGGTCGCACTGGGGCAGGTGGCATGGTGGTGTATAGCGCCCTGAAAGTTTCAGGGTTTTAGCCACCTGGATCTCTACCTAAATGAATTCATGTTTCATTTGAAATGTATAGCCATGCATTACACCTACACTTGGCCAACATAATTAGACCAAGGCCTCTTTTACGCAGAGGAAATCAAACTTGAAAATTTAGGTCTATGTTCGGTGAAAGATTCGCTAACATAATTCCATTGTTGCCTTTACACCACCCCTAGATCTGTCTCTGTTAATAGAATATGGCCATAGGTTGGGGGATGCATACATACTAAATATGAATAGGGATATATATTTTTTTTTATGTGACCATGCCTTTGATTTCAATTTTAATGTAGTTTTAATATTTTTTTAACATTTTGAATGTTCATATCTGATTTTGTAATTGCCTACCTCTCTATTATCTACATTTAACCTTCCTGTATCAAATAGTTTGTCTCCTTTATTTCCAAAAATATATTCTTATGTCTTATTGATGAAGTACTTGACTATATATATTAGTTCCGCATTCTCAATTTTTGCACCCCCACCCCCAGGCCATTTCGCACCCCCACCCAGACCAAATCCAGCCTACGCCACTGTAGATTTACAAACCTTGTCTGCTTTGTTACAGATAAGCTTTGCATAGCAATCAGACGCATCCCTTCCAGCAACAGTGTATTCCAATGGCATATAGTTTGTGTGGTAGACCTGACAAAAGAACAAAGTACTGTATATATAATTTACCAGTAGTACATCATATTCTGCAATGTACATAAACATGTTAATGATAGACTTGAAATAGTATTCCTTAATACAGTGGAAATTGTAACAACATGTTATTGTATCTAGTGGTTAATATATGAAACTTGCCTTGATTATCCCCCTCCCACACAGTGAAGATCTCATTAATTAGCTTATAATAATATTATTATTATTATTATATTTTTAGCTTATTATTGCATTATTTTGATAATAGGTCAAGGGAATTGACATCATCAAAATAGCCAAGCCAAAAAGAGGCAAATTTATTTTATTTAAAATTAAAGTACCAAGGAGTGAAAATCAAAATCATGTCTGCTACAACGCATGACCGCAATGCTCAAGCTTCAAAATATGACTAACTAAGCTCAAAACATATAAAATTGTAAATTGAGGGCGCCATTGAAATGCTTAGGCATAACTTGATTGGCCGGATCTATGGCAGCCGTCTTGTTGAGTACACACACGAAGCTCTGCATATTTAGAACATCAAGCGCATTGGATTTAGCGCTTTAGTATTCTTATTATATCTCTATGATATATGCTCAAAGTTGTGGGTTACACACTTCAATATTATCTTCACCATACTGCTTGATGGCATCTTCTTCTGCAAGCCCACAGCATCCATATTCAAGTGGGGTAAAGACAGTTGTTGGCACATTTACGTAATCACACTGAAAAATTAACAAAATTTAACATAAATTAAGACAAGAAAAAATACAGATACATACACATGGGCCATATTACGTAGGGTCATATTGCACATAAGACCAACAGGTTTAAAATGTATTGTCCTATGAAAAATACTAAAATATCCAAATATGCCCTTGTTCAAACATTCATTTTTTCTTTATTTAGCCTTTCATAAAAAGTACAATACAATTGATAGGTACATACAGTAAAATAAAACAAAAAATAACCAAAACAGAAATTACAGGAAAACTTTAAAATGTGTATGTTACTGCAAAATGAGCATGTCAACTTCAAAAATATTTGTTTATGATTTGTTTTCATTTTCTGGGGACAATACATCTTGAAACATCTGAAAGAGTGTGCGTTATATATAATGCATTTCAGGCTCCAGCTGAAATATGAGGGCAAAATGGAACTGAATCTGGGACCGAAGAACCTAAAAGGATCTCTATAGTTCAGCGCACACACGGACGCAACCACCAGTTTAGTTGAACAAGCTAAGCTGCTCTCTTGGTATGATTAACTTACTTGTACATCACTCCCTGCAAACATCCTTCGTGCTAGAAGTATTCCAGCCTCAATGGCGACTGGAGTCAGTTCTGGTTTGCCTTCCAGAATATCGCCAATAGCATAGATATTTGGGATATTAGTCTGTTCACCATTGGCAATGACCTGGCCATTCCTAAACAGAAAATGTTGGCATTAATATCTACAGATGTCAATAAAAATAAATAGTCATTTCTTAATTTTCAATTAAACTTTCTATTTTTGAAACTTAAATATTCATAATAATTCATGAGTGAGGAGACAAAGGAAGGTAAAGTGTCTGGGGGGGGGGGAATAGGGCGAGGGATGCTAGCCTCGGAATTCAAATTTAAGCCTGAAGAATTCTGCTTCCCACATGGGAGACAATGGTTAAGGGTGCCAACCTCAAGTGAATAGGCCTACAATAAACCAACTATGCTAAACATGTGAAAGAAAGACAGACAAAAATGTTTAAGTCAAGTAAGTTTGAGAATTATATAAGCCTATAATGAATTCAGAGTTACAGTTTATTGCAAGCCTTAAAAACCTGTCTTTCAAATTATATTTGGGCTGGCTTTGGTCTTTATTTACTCATTCCATTTTAAAATTTTGAATTGATTACCATTCATTTAAATTGGTCTATAGACGAGACCTTTCTTTATACCTTGTTTCGCAATCATGGGAGGGTTGAAAAAATAAAGGAGAAATTTAAAATAAAATGGGTTTGGTGAATGTAAACGGTATAGTAATGGGATGGTTAAATTTATATAATTAGAAAAAGAAATTGGCAATTCTTATTTTTGGAGATAAAGTAGCGGCAAGTGTAATGAAAATAAATAAAAGCTTTTATTTTTTTTTTTAAAGTTCCATCTTTTGTGGTGACAGGTGCACTTATCAGCCAAAAATTCTATTTTTATTTGAAATCATCATTTTTGGCAGGTTTGCTAAAGAAGGTATTTAAAAAGTCTCCGTTTAACTCAAAAATGCATGATCGGTTGATTTCAGTTGGGGTGGTTCTTGGAGGAAGTTCAATACCAATAACAATGAATAAGCACTGTTAATAGTTTCATGTACAGACTTACTTCTGGTTAAGCATGACGCCAACTTTGTCCAAGCCAATACCTGTTGTACAAGCATCGCGTCCTATAGCCATCAAAACCTTGATGTAAAAAAGCCAAAGAATGAATGAGGATGTGAATTAATGACATAAAATGAGTTGAATGTTAGTGACTCCAGCAACATGTAGGCGCAGAAAATATTCAAAAACCTAAGTCTCTATTGTCCCGAAGCATTTATAGAACTATTTTGGCCATCAGTCGTATATGAGTAAGAAACAGCTTATGTTATTTTGAAACATTATATATTCTACTAAAACATATGAATTTACAACTTTCTAAATGTTGAACAATAACCAATTTGAAATAGAAATATTCACAATTCCGACGACAAAGCAACACGTGGAATTATAAAAACCACCTCCAATTAAAGCCTACTTTTTTGGCCCAAATGAATGTTTATCTTTTATATTTTATAAAAATAATTTCTCTAATTCAAAATCATAAAAATCCCAGTCCCAAAAGTGGTCTTTAATTGGAGATAGACCTGTATTCGTACACAAAATAATTCAACAATATTTGTCAACCTACCGTATTCACGTCAAGATGTTTTTCGGCACCATCTTCATTGTAAAATACTCGCAGTGAGGGCGGTGTTCCTTCCTTGAGACGCTCAATCTAATACATTAAAAAAAATCATTATAAACACAAAAATATCTTGACGTTTCAAATAGCCTGGTCTATTTTACTCAGGGAATGTGGCATTTCAAATAGATTGCTCTATTCATCTTCCGGAATTTTGCACTATTGCTTTGCTATGAGCGAAGGTTCTTCTGGTGGGGAACTGAGCAGTACGCTAGGAGACAATCCCATATTCTGTTTATAATAATGTAACTGCGTTCTTTAAGGTATGCATGGGCCATACATTGCACATCAGGTCACTGGCTTAAAGGTCTCATCAGAAAGAAGGTGCGCTACCATAACATGTATATCAGCCCACCACCTGAAACACAAGGAGAGGAATTGAACTGGGGACCAAAGTGTCTCCACAGTTCAGCACAGAGTAGACACACAGTGGCTACTACTAAAAATAGCTGACTGAGCTGGGCTACTCTTTGTGTTATTACTACACAGAAAAATTAAACACAACAGGCTCACCCTTGTTGGCACGGTCTTCTTAATAAACTTGACAGAATGCTTCTCCATATGTAGGCCAATACGCTCAGCAATTTCTTGGTCAAATCCTCGTAATAATATTGACCGGACCATCACTGTTACGTCTAGGCCCATACCCGCTAAAAAGCCAGCACACTCCAGCGATACATATGAGGCACCGACACAAAGGGTCTTGCCTGGACAGTAGGGAAGCGAGAACAGGTCATCGCTGCAATGAAATATCAACATATTTATTTTCCAGGTACTTTAGCTACGTAATAATCTTTTGTAGACTGCTAGGCTTGGTAAATTGTATTTGTTCCGGAATATTTTATTAACACTTGCTTATCATTTATAAAATTACTTCTATCTTTAAAATTAATAACTTCTTCAAAATTTAAGAAATATAAGAATAATTCTAGCAGTCATTCTAACTAAAATATGTGGCAAAGACAAGCCAAACCAGTCCATACAGGTTTAAGGAGTAAAATTAAAGCTATAAAATTCTAAAAGAATCATTCGAATCCAACATTTCGTTATAAAGTTACAGGAGTTTGAACATACAGCTTTTTTAAGAACAATAATTGAGAAATCAGATTTCATGATTTCGGGCATTTCTCGGGTAGAAACCAACACCAAATCGTTTTGTTTTAACATTGAAAATTGGAAAAATAACAGCATAGCATGATATATAGATATATAAAGGTTAGTTTAGTGCAATAAAATAGATTTCAAAAAAGCTTTTTTGGCCATTACCTCTGAAACAAATTTTGCGACGACTGACCTGTTTGGCTTGTCTTTGCCACATATAGAGTGCATACCTCCGCCCTGTGCTTTTGTACAGAACAATACACAGGCCGTGTATGGGTGTTTCCATTATTTTCGTTTAAGCTCGAAAGTATAATTTCAAGGGTGGAAAAAATGTAAATATCTTTAATTTCTAAAAGTTAATCTTCTCTTTCTTAGATTGTTATGTACCATTCCACTGAATGTTCATCCATTCCCTACTCTGTGTTATCTTGCTAACAAGCTAACAGATAGAAAGACAACCTCTTTGGCAGAGGTAATAAAACCACCTTTGTATACCTCCATGTGGGCCACCGATCACATCTAGGTGCCATAAGCTAGGCGAAACTATGGCAGAAATCTATTCCTTGTCCGAGAAGATTTAGTGGTACCTCAATACGGGATGTGATGCGGCAAAAACGTTTACGTTGGTTTGGTCATGCAGATAGGAGACATGAAGACAACCGGATGAGTAGGGTCCAACATCTTGTGGATAATGGTAACAGTGGACATGGTAGACCCTGCAAAACCTGGGCTCACGTAATTAGATATCATCTTCGTGCAAAGGGATTGAAAAAAGCGCATGCACAAGATCGTGCAGAATGGAAAGCTGCCACTACAAGTAAGTCTAACCTATGCTTGCATGGAATAATAATAGACTCTAAATTGATGATGATGATGATGACGACATCAGCTTGATTTTCTAGACTAGGTTTCGAGACCAGGATATAAAATTCTGAAAGTTGCACTCAAACCAATCACTCGACTACAGTGAAAATAAATTATTTGATGTAACAGAGTACTGCTATAGCCCAGGTTTTGCAGCTGGAATTTCAATAATGTTTTTGTAAAAAATAATCCTATTCCTTAAGAAGGGTGGTTGGCTTTTAGCTTAGAAGACCTCAACTGATCTTTAAATTATACTTGGATAGTACATTCAATGTCAGTACATATAATGAGTTTTCCAAATAAAAGACTATCTCGTTGGTTATGACATTGATCCTATCCTACAAAATGGCTTTGCACCTAGCCTATCTGCTTAAAATTGGCTTTAAATTGGTTACCCACGTATAGTTGTCAACTCCAAACTGTGGGCTTAAACTTGGAACAAAAATTAACACTGGGATTTTAATTCAATTGTGAGAAAAATCCCTAGATTCTTTAACAAGATGAACCTAGGAAATTGGGATTTGAGGATGGGCACTTCAACCATCAAACCATAAGTGCCACTCTAAAGCCTGGTTTCCATAACAATAGCTACATGCTGTCGCCGACTCCTTTAGCAACGCTGATTGGTCAGTTGAGTAAGGAGCATTTCCGATTGCGCCGGGGATAGCTACGCAGTGCAAGAATTGTTAGCGACTGTGTAGCGGTTGTATGGAAACAAGCTTAATATGATGTTCGCAGCAGCAGGATGGCAACATAAACAATAATGGTAATAACTTATCATCCCTTTCCCTCACCTTGTAATTGAAAACTCTTTGGCTCCAGGAATGTCTGGGTACCTAGGTCTCATGCCAGTTGCAATGATAAATTTATCTGACGTGATAGTTGTCTCCTTCCCCCTTCTATTTACACACTGTTGGAAAGAAAATCAAACAGATAATATAAATACTGTATGTAATAAAAATACAACAATATCAATAATGATAACAATCAATAATAATTTACCGCAGAACATTTATCAGAATGCTTATATACAATTTGTGGTGGTCTTGTGGTTCATCTCCACTTAGAGGGTGTGACCACCTTCAGCAAAATTATCCATTTGTAGGAAAAATTAAAATATTTAGTTTTTGATGTTTTTAAATTCTGCATGAATTCTTTAAAGCAGTGTTTATTTGATGGAAATTAGTTGAGTAATTCCAAAGTTATGAATATTTATTTCATCAGCCATGTAGGTTTTGAGAAAACAGCTTCCAAAGATTCCAAAATCAATAGTTTATTATCAAGCTTTGTATTTTAAAAATAACTTTAATATATTTTTCAGTTTAGATTTAGTAACTGATATTCCACAGATATGTTCTTCAATATATTTTCCTTCATAAAATGCAAAAAATATGACATTTTTTCTAAATTCTGATTCTCAAAGGTTTTGCATGCTTGTGGGAAATTGGAAATTGTAACAAACGGAGGATTTTGCTAGAGCGGTCACATAGTTTTGTAATAAAAGATTGAAGATATTTGAAAATATGGTATCGAAATAAAGGGGTCTTGGAAGTAGAGGGGTCTCCAAAAAGAGTGCACTGTATATCATTTTACTTTAGCATGTATAGCAGATAACTATGAACTATACATTTCACCAACTACCAATTACATCCTTCTATTCACAGTACCTTGATGGTGTGTGGGTCGACAAATTCAGCATACGCGTTTTGGTAGGCAACCGACTTGTCACGCAACGCTACACGATAACCCCAATTCAGGGAACCTATGTGGTCTTGCACACCTTTTCGTAATGTCTCCCATTTATGCGAAACTGCAAAAAAAATAGATCAGTTATTTAATCTGGCTGCTTGGGTGTTGTTTATGAATATTTTTAATACCACGTTCAGAATTTTCTGATTACATATAAAGTTTTCATTAACTAATAGATGATAGTTGGGGCAACGGCTCACGGCTTTTCCATGTTTTAATCTACATTATAGTCTCATTATGCACACAGGTAAATATTGCGCATTCTTAGACTTTATTATTATACAATATAATATATATATATATAATAAATTTTATTTTTAAATTGCACATAAATAAATAGTTCACTATTATACTAACTACACCCCTCCACAACTTTTAAGATTCTTATTTTCATAAGGATTTACCCTGGGGAAATGTGAAATAATTTAAAAAAAAAAAAAACCTCTAGGGCCATGTGCAGTGTTTTCGAATACTAGGTGCACACTTATTTCCCAACTTGTGCATATTATTATGTACAGTACATACATTATTCATTTTTTTCTACATGAATTTTGATTTACGATCAAATTAGCTTGCCATATGGATGTATTTCAATGATGATATAAATCTTTTTTTTTTTTGCTTTCAAGATTATTTCCTGATATATATTATTTATTAGAGCTACTAGAGAAGATGTATATTATAATAGAAGCCACTATTAAAATACAAAATTACCATTAGCAAACAAATAAAATGCATTGAAAGGGAATATATACAATCAAGTATATTTAATATAGAGGAGACTAGAGAAGATGTATTATTATTATAGAAGCCATTATTAAAATACGAAATTACCATTAGCAAACAAATAAAATGTATTGAAACAGAATATATACAATCAAGTATATTTATTATAGAAGCCACTATTAAAATACAAAATTACCATTATTAGCAAACAAAAAAAAAATGCATTGAAACAGAATATATACAATTAAATAGATTCTAGCTTTCTAAATACAATATTGCATAAATAAACATCAGACCTGTAAGAAAACCTCCAACCATAAAAATTGTCTTGATGAAATATGCCTCCAGTTGAATGTTACACGTACACTATGTAACCGAACAGTGGTAGTCGGCAGTGAGCAAAGCTTTTATTATTAAAAATGCCTCTGACTGCCTGTTACATGGTTTTTCCATTTTTCCAGCCCCGGTAATAACAGCGGAAATCATGATCACAGCTCAGGCCCATAGCCGGGGGTTGTCATGGTTCAGGCAAAATGTTCTTTTTCAGCAAAACCCCTGTGACAGCGAAAACCTTAATTCTCCACACACACAAACTCATGCTTTAAGAGGGGTAAATTTCTGATACACCAGAGTACACGTAAAATAATATTTTTTCTTAGCCCCCTTCTAAAATGATGTCTACACCTCTCAAATCTTAATTGGTTTTTTATTAGCATTATTTGGCTTAGAAAGAAAAAAAAACGCTCTTTTTTTAGGGGTCTTAGGTGGGTTCCCGGACCCCATGCCCAGAACATTTTTCGAAAGAAACTACATACTTGCCAGCTGAGTACACAGTAGAAAGAAAATGTGTAGTCTTATCCTCGCATGGCAATAAATATCAAATATTATCAACCTCACTGTCTAACAAGACAAAATTCTCACTGAAATTTACATGGAAACATACAGATAATGCTGATTTGGATGCTTGCAAAACTGTTTGCTCAGCTCAATTTGCTTGTGTGGTTGGCTATATATTATTCAATAACGTTAAGTGCTAATAAAACCTGAATAAATTTGTGAATGTTAGGCACTAAATGGATAACCCTTCTTTGATTCACTGATTTACAGCCAATTATTTATAAAGACTTCTTTACATTAAAATATAAAACAAATTGTTTTACCAACATACTGTATCCATACTTACCTTCCTCCGAAAACTCCCAACCATAATGTCTAGCATCTCTTATTGACTGACCTGTGATAAATATAATTTACTTTTTAATTAATTTTTTTACATATTTTGAAATTTAGCAGCAATATAAGATGAACTCGGTAGGGGCTGCTGAAAATAGACAAAAATTTGAAACTGTCGTCTGAAGATGGCCTATCCAAATAATCCCCACCGATCATTAAACTAATTGCAAAACAACATTATACTATAATGCAAAAATCAATATCATCAAATACTAAAATGGTCGCTGTGCTTTTATTATCTCGACAAGTAATGCATTATGGTACATCAAGATATCGGATTTGTTATCAACGGCATCTGGCTGTCCGTGTTCAATCGGACTTAAACCAAAACAACCCATTTCCCGCTACACTGGAAACTATACCATTGTCTTGGCTTTTTTTTTTTTGTTTTTTTTTTTTGTTTAATAAAACCTGAATAAATTTGTGAATGTTAGGCACTAAATGGATAACCCTTCTTTGATTCACTGATTTACAGCCAATTATTTATAAAGACTTCTTTACATTAAAATATAAAACAAATTGTTTTACCAACATACTGTATCCGTACTTACCTTCCTCCGAAAACTCCCAACCATAATGTCTAGCATCTCTTATTGACTGACCTGTGATAAATATAATTTACTTTTTAATTAATTTTTTTACATATTTTGAAATTTAGCAGCAATATAAGATGAACTCGGTAGGGGCTGCTGAAAATAGACAAAAATTTGAAACTGTCGTCTGAAGATGGCCTATCCAAATAATCCCCACCGATCATTAAACTAATTGCAAAACAACATTATACTGTAATGCAAAAATCAATATCATCAAATACTAAAATGGTCGCTGTGCTTTTATTATCTCGACAAGTAATGCATTATGGTACATCAAGATATCGGATTTGTTATCAGCGGCATCTGGCTGTCCGTGTTCAATCGGACTTAAACCAAAACAACCCATTTCCCGCTACACTGGAAACTATACCATTGTCTTGGCTTTTTTGTTTTTTTTGTTTTTTTGTTTTTTGTTTTTTTTTTTCGTTTAGTTTTCGACAGAATCAGAAATGTTTCACTATCCAATCACATCAGTATTTTCCTGTTTGGACTTTCAGTAGATAATTTTCTCCTGAAGCAAATCGAGACATTCTCAACAAAACAACATTTCTTTCCACAACTATCTACACGCTGTACCACAAGCATTTAATATATAATGTACAGTAAAACGTCCATTTTACATATTGCCGATTTTACAAATGGTCTTTGCCCCTGATGACATCATCATTGACCAATTATTACCATAAAAAAAAGTTCGATTGCACACGTTTTACAAAGTGATAAAGTATATTTTTCTTAATAAAATCAATTTGTTGTATTTATTAATAGTTCGATCTTTTCTTCTATTTCTGAGAACAACGAACTACCAACACAAGTGTCGTCAGATTGAGTGTATTAACATCGTGAATGCTAGATATGATTGCGAAATGCATGTAAACAACACAATTCGGCAATCTAACAACTAGAAAGAACACAATAGAAAGGGCCATAAAACATACAGATGTTTGAATAAGTTATAAGTTAAAATAATATTTTGTTAAGTGGAAGAGTGCCAGCGATTAAAATAATTTCGTATTTATCGACAGTAAATTCAGCTAGGCTCTAGCGCGGTAGACCACGCTGCTGCACTGTTAGCTGATGCTAGGCATGGCTGCCGTCAGGCTATCGGCATTCAATGGCACGGGATAGCTAGACCTAGGTATAGGAAACTGACACCCGATCTAATTTTTTCATTTACGAACACCCCTTGGTATCAAGGGGTACGTAAAATGAACGTTTTACTGTATTATGTTCAAGTTTATATGTAGGGCTTATGTACACATATCACGTGTGAATGTAAATTAATGTATAAAGAATTTATTTATTTAATTATTTATTTATTTCAATAATCTTTATTGAGGGTGGTTCATCCAGAAGAAGCAGATCATTACAGACTCTTAATACACACAGAATCTTTATTATTAAATAAAGTATAAAGAATACCCTACAAAAATATGGTAAAAATAAAACAACTGTATAAATACGATATGCTGTTTGTGTTAGAATTGTACAAAAAGAAAATAAATTTCAATTGCAACAACTAGAATGAGGTATTAGCACATTCGCTGCCAAGTTTTTTCACAATAAATCAAATTAAAGTTATATATACTTTCTATTTTTTTTTAATTTTAATCAATTAAATAAAGTTTGTATTTCTTATTTTTTTATTTTAATCAAACAATTATAAAGTTTTAAATTTTCTATTTTTTATTTTAATCAATCAAATGAAGTTATACTCTTTCTATTTTTTTATTTTTATCAATTGAACGAAGTTTCATATTTTCAATTTTTTTATTTTAATCAATTAAATTAAGTTTTATATTTTTTAATATCAAGATAATTAGCAGTAACATAAGTACATTATAATAAAAAAAAAAATAAAAAATATAAAATGTTTATATTTTTAAATTTATTTTTAATTTTTTAAATTTGTTTTAGGCTTAAGGCCAAGGATGGCAAATAGTGCACTTAATCACTTTCCTATACTTTAATATTGATCGAACCCTGGGACCTAGGATTGGAAGGCATGTATCTTAACCGCCAAGCTATTGGAGCCCACTCGTTTTAATGTAGATATTACATTGTGATATTGTCTATGAAAACGATTTAGTAAACTTTTTCAAAGGTCAATGTAAATATATATTGCTCATTGAGATATAAATAAAAATGAGACAGACAGACAGACAGACAGACAGACAGACAGACAGACAGACAGACAGATAGATAGATAGATAGAAATCTTTCTTTATTCTGGATACTTTTATAAAACATTAAATTAAGAAACAAAAGCAAGATTGGTAAACACAAGTAAAATTTGAGAAAAAATGAATAAGCAAAACCTGAAAGGTAGATTTTACCTAGAATTGCTGCCTGGTGCATCAACTTCTTTGGTATACACCCAACGTTCACACATGTTCCTCCCAGACCTGTTGATCAACAAGAAATATTTCAAATGTCAGTTTTTAGTTGAGTTGATAACAAATTTATGGCGGTATAGTATTACGTGTAGCACTTCTTGCGCTTATAATGGAATGTTGTAGCGCATCCGCAACTCACTGGGTTGAATGTTTCAAATATTATGAATTGACTAATTTGTTAATATCCCAACAAATAGACATTTTACACCATCAGTGGAATGTCTTTAGAATATGTTATGGGGTCTGCTTTATGTACCAATCATTATAAATTAAGGGGTCTGCCGTGGAACTCATTAGAGTAAGGATCGAGTTTGCCAGGCACTTATACTAAGGAGTTTGCCTTTTGACATTACAGTAAGTTAAGGGGTCTGCCTTGGCACACATTATAGTGGGTTAGGGAGTCTGCATATGTCACTCAATGCAGACCGTTAAGAGGTTGTCTTGGCATTTATTACAGTAATTAAGGGGTCTACTTTAGCACTTGATGGCATGAACATTATAAATGACTCATCTATTAATACCATTCATAAATTTAATAAAAAGAAAACACTTGAACTTTGTAAGCTTGAAAATGATTGGTAATATTTAATAGATTACAAATATCATCAGCAAATTAGCAACAGCATAATAAAACGCCACACTTTACAACTGATGGCATCTAAACATGGTAGGGTTGGCAGACATCAAATTATACAGAAAGATATAAAAAAGAATATTTTTCAATTTATGATATTTATATCAGTGCGAAAATGTGACATCATTATTTTTGAATAATGATAATATTAACAAAAACCTGAGCCATGAAACTTATAATTCTAAACAACTTTATGTGCTTATTTCAGGCATGCAGTCTGTAAAGGACACATAGTTTTAATTAGTAAGATATTATGCCCCAAAAATGGGCAAAGTGCAAGAATTGCGCAATAAAACTGTTACTATTGATTTCAAATGAGCATATTATCAGTGTACTGTCTAGAGCCATGAAACTTTTCATTTTATGGTAACGTTTTGTTAGACACAGTGTTTAATTAGTAAGATATTTTGTCCCATAAATGACACAAGTGAAAGAATTGCACAATGACATTGTGTTACTATCGATTTCAAAAGGGCATAATATTAACAGTGTAGCTGTCTAGATATAGCTATGAAACCTTACATTCTAAGAGAACATTTTGTGCTGGTTTCATTTAACCGTCTGTTAAAGGAATGTGGTGTTTAATTAGTAAGATATTATTATGCCAACAAAATGACCCGAATGCAAAAATTGCGCAATAACACTGTGTGAATATATTTGATATATTTCAAATGAGCATAACGTTAACAGTGTACTGTTTACAACCATGAAACCTTTTATTCTGGGACAAATTTGTATGCTTATTTTATTCACGCAGTCTGTTGTGGGACACAGGCTTTAGTTAGTAAGATATTGTTTCCCCAAAAAATGACGCAAGTGCAAGAATTGTATAATAACGCTGTGTGTGACATTTACCGATTTCAAAAATGAGCACAATAATTAATAGTATACTGCCTTGAACCATGGAATTTTTACTTCTAGGACAACTTTTTCTGCCTATTTCATTCATGCAGTCTGTTAAAGGACAGAGTGTAGAATTAGTAAAATATTGAAGTCTTCCCCCCCCCCCACCACCAAAGAGACTCGAGCTCTTGTGCAAGATTTGTGAAAAGAACACTGTTATTTCACAATTTCTTGAGGGCCCATACCTAAACTAATTAGACATTGCATCCCTTATCAGGCTGCATGACTGAAATACGGTAAGCACAAAAGGTTATCCTAGAATTAAAGGTTTCATGGCTATAGAAAGTACACTGATAATAATTTTTATGCTTATTTTAATGTCACAATTCGTAGAATCTAGAAAGGTATTAATGGAATTAAGACATAGTGCTAAAGATCTTAACCCAGAGTTCGTACACTCTAAACCAAGTAAAATTCCAGGACATTTCCAGGCGATTCAAGAACAAAGTTTTTCAAGGACTTTATGTCGTTGTTGGATATTTCTGTAAAGTTATAATTGCTGATTTTTTAATATAGAGTATGCCCTTAATGACATAACCTACATCGTGAAAGTTTTTTCACTTTCCTTTTCATTTTAAATGCAAGATTATCCACTCATTATAATAATAATAATACCAAAAGTGATCAAATTTCCAGGACATTCAAGGAAAATTACAATTTTCCAGGACTTTCCTTTACTGGAAAATGCACCTTTGTTTTCTCAGGTTTTTCAAGGAATTCAAGGTTAAGTACGAACCCTGGTAACCTATGAAAAAACATGTTTCACATCCTGGAGTTTATATCATTTTTTTCTGCGGTGACTGGACTGGAGTCATAATTTTACTTTTTTGTTTGTGTATTTTTATTTTTTTTATTTTTCCCCCTTTTTAATCTTATAATTTTTAATTAAATTTTTTCCATGATTAAGTCTCATTTTTAATTTCCTCTGTTTTTCTTCCTAAGTATTATAAATTTTTATTATATATTATATCTTCAATTTTAAATTGCCGTTTCTATGAGGATAGATTAACTAGTTTGTGAGCTACAGAGATATTAATTGCTTTTGTTAATCCTTGCCTCCTTAGATTTTTTTTTTTTTTAGTTTTACTTTACTGTATGTGCAAATGTGATATTTATAAAAGGCTAAATAAAGAATGAATGAATGAATAATAAAATAACCTCATACATTAAATTATTAAAAAAAACCATGTACCAAATAATGAAAGCAGTTTGGCACAGTGGAAATTGTTTGGTTTCTCAACCTCAAGGTCGGGGTTTTTAATCCTATCTACGATGTGCATTTTGCTAAGTGTCCTAATTTATCTACATTGCTTCAGTCAACCCAGCTGTATCAATGGGTACCACCAGCAAATTGCTGGGCCTAACCTGCGGTAGACTAGTATCCCACACAGTGGGAGCATCACAATCTCATCCGCTTCACGCTACCTGAAACTGGAGATTAACCTCCAGGCATAAGCCGGGAACTCTCTGTGCCCGACGGCTGTCGTGGTTCCATGAAGAACGCAAAACCACGATGTGCGCACGACGAGTCGCTTTGAATGATGATCATTCACACTGCCACGTACAATCAGCTGACGATGTGGTCATCTAGCGCACACAGGGAGCACAGTTGGATCCATCGTACGACGGTCGTATAAGTACGATCGTAGTACGACGCAGAGTGTCCGCCTTTATGAGCCCCGTTGCTAACAAGTATTTATTTAATATGAATACTAACCCCAGGTTGTTCCCACTGGTGTTGGCTTCACGAAGTCGCAGACTGCTACTTTTTTTCCAAAGGAAGCCGCTTCCTATAAAGATAAAAAATACATTTCAGATATTAAAGATTTTCGCTAAATTTGTAATAAAAATTTCCGAGAACCTGGCAACTACCGCTAGGGGAACAACCAGAGGGCTAGGTATTTTGTTCTATGTTGTTACCAGTAGGATTTATCTGTATCAATTGGATAAACATTTAACATAACACAAGGTTTCTACAGTATTAGGAATATTAAACCATTTTGAGATGACATAACAAATGTTTCAACCTTTATGTACCGTGTTTTCAAGTACGTCTTTTCAGGGCCACCATAATGTAAAAAGAGATTTATGTTAGCAATAACTGTAACAATAAACAAACCATACAAAGAATTTGCATTCAACAACCACATTGATCTGTCTAATAAACACGCTGTTATAATCTAAAACCATGTGAACTGAGCTAGATGAACAAAGCTATTGTCGGTGCACAAAATAATTCCTTTCGTACTTAACTTCGTGTGAAAAACTTGTGCACATGATTTTTTGCACGCCCAGACACAACACCCAGCTGTGTTTAGAATAGCCATGAAGAATTTACAGTCAAAAAGTGGCTATTTACGGTGAAACAGCTCATGTCAATCGTATTTTTTCTTTTAATCCAACTGTTGAAATTTGGATTAGAATTGTTATAAACAGAGAGCCCACGCACTGACTGCCATAAGATACAGTTAATATGCTAACCTGTATTTTCATATGTAAAACAATGACAAATTTACTCTTGTTCTTTTAATTTTTCCACCTTATTTTCATCAGTAGGTAACTGTAATCTTAAGTTAATTTTTTTTTTCTATAATTATTCTATTTTTGTATTTCCTGGATACATTTTGTATTAGTGCCACTGTATCAAAAGTGGATCCAATAAATTTAATTGAATCAATCATTGTCAATTACCAGTGCTAGATGACATTGCTTGAGCAAAGTAATCTCTTTGAGCTTTTATAATTTCTTGTTTGCAGTATTATCATCTGCCAAAAAATTTTACGTATTTACCCCTATCTTAGTCTGTCTGTATTTGTGTGCATAGGCTCAAGGGAAAAACCATGCGTTTTAAATTGTACAGTACCTCTGTTAAAGTTTAATTTTAAAAAATAGACAGTTTAAATGCCTTCTAAACAGAGTTGCTCTTTGTGTTCAATCTGTACCTCCCCCAAATAACGGTTTCTGTCCCAACATCCAAATTTTTTACCAAAGAAGGAGCAGACCCAGGATGAATAGGAATAAAAATTGGTAATCAAGCACCATTGGTCTGAGGTTAAGGTGGGGAATGTTACTCTCTATTTGGTTTTATCCCTCCAAAATCCAAATTATATTCTCTTTATTAAATCTAAAATTGTTTAAGAGGAAGAATACCCCTTTCTATTATCATATTATATTGTGCGCAGTGGCGGCTGTAGGATATATTTTCCTGACAGGTTCAATGAGGTAACTTAATCCCCCTTCCCCCTCCCCGCTGGTGTTGCCACTGATTGTGTGTGGGGAAACCTGATAGCCACCCAACTAGACTTGACACTGATGAAAGAGATATAAAACTGTAGCTCTGTGGCGTGACGGATTCAAATTACCAACGTAAATCGGAATTAAAGCTTCAAAAGGCACCTACAGTGGACAACTGTATTAATGGTTTCCTGTACTTTTGATTAATATAATGAGTCAATTTACAATTAACTTTTAATATTCATTTTTATTAACTTATTCAAAATCATATAATTTACTCTTAACTTTCAAGCTTCGAAATTTGTGATTGAGATGAGGCAAAAATTATGTTAATTTTTCTTTTATTCATACTGCAATCGCAAACACACGTTGGGCAGATTGCACGTACATCTGTGAAGACTACAGCATAGAAACTCTGTACAGAGATTTAATATATCAGTTGAACTTGCCTAAGTCGAATCCAAAACGACATTGAAAAATTGTTGGACTTAGATAAAATTTGACTCACAGAAAGTTAAATAATGGATTTGGCATGTAAAATAAGATCGACTTAGAAATTATTCGACAATAGGCAAATTTAACTTTAAAACTATAATAATTAAATTTATAATTAATTTTATCATGATTACAAGAATCAGTTTTTGAATAATGGTTAACATGCTGTAATGTAGTGCAAACGTCTTCAGTATGAAATATTATTGCATGGTCCTCTAAAATGCTATGCTTTCTATACTCTTGAACCTACAGTGCATCTATCAATTTATTGTTTAATATCGGCACAATAAAGATTAAAGTACGTAGGCAGCTTCGTCTGTTCAAACAAAATGGCCATTAATCTTGTCCTGTTTGTCAGGTCTATTTATGTCATGACAATGAATAACATTCTAATTGGTTCGATGAAGGATACTTGTCGTATTATTGGTAAAGACATTGACGATATACTGTATTGCCACTTGCATAATTTTAATAAATTAATTATTTAAATAGCATTTACATTTTGGTCATTTAAGGCCTTTTCTCTAGTAATTGGGATGTGGAATCAACCGAAGAACCTCTGTAGTAGTCCATTCCTGGAGCTTCTAGGGATGCACGTCATCCACTCCATCACTATATCATCATTCAGCGAAGTGGTAGGCTGAGACCTTCGACTGTCCACACCAATCAGTATTCCTGTTAATTTATTCATGCTAAGATAAATCTATAATATTACACATTTTATATTTGTCTGAATATTTTTAACTTTACACTGTTTTTACAAGTTGTATGCAAGCATTCAGTTTCCCTCGTTGAAGGTTGAATAAAGTTTTACTTCAATGACTTTCTTCTTTTTTTCTTATCTTTATTTCCTCCAATAGCAAATGCCAATAACAGGATGATTTAAAGACAAACATACAAAGAGTACTCTACGTACAAAGTAACATTTGCTTTTGGCTAAGAACAAAGAATCCTGTATAGAGTTCTGTTGTATGTTGTTACGACACGATACCGTGTGATACTACAGTGACCGAAAAAAAAAAAACAAGATATCATGTGAAACTACAGTGACCAAAAAAATTTAAAAAAATCCACTGTCTCCACCAACAAACCATTGATCCCAATTTCTAACGTAATTATTAAGATGTTGTATCTTAATTTTTCTTTGTAAATTTTAATTGATTATTAAGTATGTGTTCGATAACTAATATAATGCGAGCATTTGTGTTTTTAGTACATTTTGATGGTAAATTATTAGGTTTTAAAATGCATTCCAGAAAGCCTATTCTAAAACATTAAGATTATGAAGTCATTCAGGCGTAACAACCGCTTTACGAACATACTCTATTAGCATTGACAGGAACCCACGGAATTGGAAGGTTTCATTTAAACGCCAGGTTACAGCCTTCACCTACACCATGCAAGTTCTGCACTAAACAAATTTCATTCTAAACACTGTAATTCACATTCTTATTTTGAGCTGGACGTATTGATAAAAATGTCTTGACCAACAGAAATCTGCCCAACAGCTGACTTGACCACTTGATTGAAAGCCATACTGCTATGATACCATACACTTCCACATTAAAGCATAGTAGTAACCACTGAAACCACTTAGCACTATAAAAGACTATCTATTAGAACTTACTGTATACATAGGAATAGATGACTAAGCAAAAAACACTACTGTACATGACTAAGGGCTTGTCGCACATACTTTGTTAATCTATACTTGGATAATAAAGCTGGCAGGATTGAAGGCTCAAGTCCAATAAAAAAATAAATCAGAAATAAGATTTTAATACTTAGGCCTATTTGAAATTGAATTGATTGAACTGAATACTTAAGGCATTTTACTAGCATTTTAAAGATCATGACATTTAAAAAAAAAAAAAAATCTGCCTATTATGTATGCTATATTTTAATTCTACTGCTCAAGGGCCACGACAGCTCGAAATCAGTGTCCTTTCCCAACAACCTAGGCCAGGTAAATTAACAACTCAAAATGCAGGGCCATAAATTGACTATCTGATATGCTTTTTATACAAGATTGGCTATAATAAATAGCACTATTTATCTGTACCAAAAAAATTCCTGCTTATTAATCTTGAGTACAGGGGATCAACTCCTTGAATGTGCATTTTTTTGTGTCCATCGCAGGCTGATCCAGAAAGAATTGTAGGTAGGCATGCAAAGCACTGAGTTTGGGGAGAGTGTGGGTTGTTGAAGAATTCTCTGGAAATGCTTGCCCTAGACACTGGTCCAGTCTTTTCTTTTCTTCATTTTTTAACATTTTAATTATTTATTCTTTTTTTTTTTTGGGGGGTTTACTTTATTCCTGTCTCTTATACACATCTAGATGTGTATAAGAGACAGCCCCCCAACTGCCCTCCTGGTTCATCCCCTGTCCTTGGGCAAGGCACTACGGTTCTCGCTCTCCACCCAGGAGTCAAAGTGGGTACCTACAACATTATAGAATTCTCCCTGGGAAGCTGAGTTGTGTTCCATGTGTTTGATCTTGAATGGGGGTAATGGGTAATAATGTGAAGCCTCGTTGTCATAAGCACTATAAAAAGAACAATTTATCATTAATAGTATTATATTTACTTGTTATTTTCAATCTCAACATGTACTGTACAGTAAAGCATGAATTTATGAAAATAAAGTATTTTGAAATGTTGACAGGATGTTGGATTTGAACATTTATTGCGCTTTATTATGCACGAGTCTCAAAGCGCTTAATGTGTGGACTAGTTTGTACAGATACTTGTTACGTGTTACTTGTATAGCGCCTTTCTTTTCAGTTACAAAGCGCTGTAATCAACTCTCCACAATAAGTCAAAAACATCCCTCATGAATAAAGCTTGCATAGAACCAAACCCATGAAAAGTGAGCTATTAACAAATGCAATAAAGCAATAGAGAATTAAGAAAACAAACAAAACAATAAACAAATACAATCGAGGAAGGTGAGAGAACTATTGACAAAGGTGTGTTTTAGATGGCCTTTGAACTGCTTAAAGCGAATCAAAATAACTTGTTCCTTCCATAAATGGTCTCTACGTGCCTGAGCTACCTGAAACACCAGTAATGGCTATTCTCACCTCTACACTACCACCACTAAAAAAAGCCTTGATTCATTCAAATCCATTTAACGCATAAACTATGATAATTATGATATATCATCCCATATTATACAAATTAACATTTTGCCAAGACAAAAAAAAGGGCCATAAATATAAATAGCAAATTAAGATAAATTTGAGACATAAACCACAATCGCATTTCGAGATTATACTGCCTTAAGCATTTCTACATTCAGTACGTTGTAAATAAATGACTGACAATAAATAATGATTTTCTGATTATGTAAAAATATATAGCACTTCGGGAAAAACCGAGCTCTAAATCTATGGCTAATTTTAGATTTCATTTGGATCGATTTTAGTACCTATTCTTGATCAAAAATTCAATAACCTGGACAACACTTAAGAGATATTATTGCAACAAATTTCCTCCAGTCTGTGCGATGCATTGTCTCTGTGACACGTTATTGCTCTTTTTTTCGTGCAGGATATCGTTCCTGTGACTTGTTGGCATTGCTCTCTTGAATGCAATGGTCAATTTATAATATTCCTGCTGCTACTTTGCTTAAATGCCAACATTTTCTTATCAACAATTCTAATCTTTTCACTGTTGTTTTTTATTTCATTCTTTTTCAAATATGTGCTTGCCAATACAAGACCGAAATCTAGGGTGAAGAGAGGCATTTCCGAGCCAAAAAGCCGGCTAAAGTCTTGGTCACACCTCAAATAAAAGCCACGGTGGGGTTCATAGGATGGCTCAAAACTATGCTTTTTAGACCATCTGACGACCTTGTCACGATATCAGACTATGGGAGATCCATGCTTGTCCGATGGGGGGGGGGGGGGATGAGGATATTACATCTCAAGAACCACCGCTGCCACTAGCAAATTACTAACAAATTTAGTCTCTTCTGTATGTACGAGGCTTAGAAATCGTAAACCTTTTTTTTTAAATCATGAGAAAAATTTCTGTGAGTCCAAGGATTTGCATCCAAAGCTCTGAGATTGGAAGGCATATATCTTAACCATCAAACCACAAACAGCTCTACTCTGATTTGCCCTGTCATCAGGAAATGCAAGGCACTTCTGCACATGCTCTGTGGTTGACATGATTAATCCATGCTCATCACTCAGAGAAAATTGCAGTGGATCATGCTGTTCTGAGGACTTGATTAGCAATGAAAGGGATCTTGGCCTGTAGACCTTCTGTTTACTTTATTCCTGTTTAATAATCAATAGACCTCTACGCAGGTAATGGCAAACCTTGAACAGGAAAAGGTATGTCGATCTAAAACATGATTTGAAATCAATACTATATGCATCTGAGTGGGATGTGAAGTATGAAACACTGCCTGGCATTAAGTAAAAGAAAGGATATTAAAGGTTGGCATAGCAACCAGAAACAAAAAACCCATCAAACTTAAGAGCAATTTCTATATTATGTTTCCTCCTTGACTAGGATATACTTCAAAAAATATCATCCCTGGGTTGGTGCTTTGAATTAAGCAAGTTAATTGAAAGTAAACCAAACACTCAATTATTATTCTCTTCTTGGACCAAGTAACTACATGTAACTAACTACAGAATAGATCACAAAGATAAAATATCAAAATGAAGAAACAAGACTAGAAAATGGTTAGACTTGAATAGTAACACAAATCATATAGGAATGGATCACGCAACCATGGTTTTCGAAAAAAAAAATTTTGAACTACAACTCCATGCATAATCATAACCAACCAAATAGGTACTGTATTGTTGTTAATACATTTTCAACATACCTTTTATGTTGGAAAACAATGTATTGTAATGTTAAATAAAAAAAAAAATTAAAAAAATAAGTTTGAAATAAACTTGCTCATTTTGCAACAACATACAAACTATTAACTTGTGCATAGAAATTATTGAATTTAAAAAATGTGTACCCTGATTTTTAAACCAACAAATTATAATAAAAATAATAAAACACTTCCAGTGACTGGAAGTTTTTCTATCATTTTTCGCTGTAAACTGATGTGTAGACATTTTTTAAAAACACTAATTTCTATGTTCAAATTGATAACTTTTATGTTACTTCAAAATGGGCAAGTTAATTTAAAAAAATATTTTTATGATTTTTTTATTATTTAGCATGGGACAATACATCTCTTGAACAGAAAATATAATGCCGTTAATAAATTATACTTTAATTCATTACTTTATAAATTTATATCTTGCCAGTTATACAGTAATTATATAAATTTGTTTAACTACTGTAAATTTGGTTAAACTATTTTGTTAATTGTATCATGTCAAAGTTTAAGTGGGGTGAGTCGAATACAGTAGCTTTAGTTTGTTAAGATGCTTTGTCCTCTAACCCCCGAGTTCTGGGTTCAATTCCTGCCACATGAGGACTTTTCTCACAACTAAAAAAAAAATCCACTCCAGGCCTCAAATTAAAGAGACTTAACTTATAAAGCATCATTCAGTCCTGCAAGTGGCGTGTGTACTTGCTTTTGAATGTGAATGAAATAAATAACAGTTAGTTGGTAGTCCTGTGTGATGTGATCATGTGATATTTCCAATTAGATAATCACAAGACAAGGTACATTACATGCTTTCATTTACAATAGATAAAAGGATGAAGGAACATGAAATGTGAGACTGTCAAGTCAATAATAAAAATAAATAACAATTAAACAATCTTTAATTAATAAAAAATCTTTAATTAAACAAAAATTAATATTTATTCAAAATTTAAAAAATGATAATCAACAGAAATACATTTTTGCTAAATTAATCAATAACTCACCTTAGAAGCCGCTAGGCCCCCTGAACCCCCACCGATGACAACTAGATCATAGGTGTAGTCTGCGGTCGGAGGGCTTATTAGTGACATCAGTCTGTTTTCAGATTGGGCTTTAAATGTATCGTCAGCACCGCCCAGATGTGTCCCGCCTATAAATACATTCGGGACAGTGCGCTGTCCAGTCATGTCCAGCAACTTCTCTTGGATTTGTTTGCCATTTTCTGGGAAAAAAAAATATTAAAATGTATAAATTTCACTGAACAAAACAGGGGCGGCACCAGGAATTCCCGGCGAGGGGTCCAGCTCCCAGACAAGGGGTCCAAGCTCCATGACAAGTTGTACACCCTTCCCCGTGGGAGAAAATTGTGTTGATTATGGTATTTTTTATCGCGATAGTGTACAATGCCTCACACATACGGTAGCACTCCTTGCACTAAACAGTTTTTAATCCCTAAAATTTGACAGCTTAGTAAGGCATAGGCCTACCTAAATTGCATTTTCGGCAGTCGAGATTTCATTTTCCACAACGACCTTGCTAGAAATTCCCCGACAGGAGGCCAAGCATGGGGTCCAGGTCACCGACGGGGTGTCCTTCACACCCCTGGTCCCCCCACTAGCGCCGCCCCTGGAACAAAAACCCAAGAAAGGACAGATATCTCTAATGCAAATAATGTAACAGTAATTATGCTATGCATAATGTAGTAATTGTGTCTGCTTTTAATGTACAGTAAGTGTTCTTTATGTATAATACTGTAAGGTCATTGTGATGACAGTGAAAGCCACAATATAGAGATAACCTTAAGTGCTTTTGAGATACGGCACTTGTTATTACGGTTGCACCCTTTAGGCTGTGGCATATGGGGAAAAAAAAACAGCTTGGCAGTCAGACTAATATCAACATTTCTATAGGTTGCAACCATAACAACGTACATTACAGTGCCCGAAACGTTTTCTAAATAATAATTCTTTTTTTGTCCTCATTCTAATCAAAAAGCGGAAATTTGGGTTGAACCCCCTCCCCGGGGGCCTGCAGCAGCCACAGTACAGCATCACCCAACCTAACTACAAACATATAATGGACAAACACTAATCTAAACCCGCGTAACTCTCAATATTTCTGTTCTTTGAGGAGCCAAGTGATCAGACTTCAATTAAAACCTGAGGCTAGCCGAGTCTGAACTAAATAAATAGCTAATGGAAAAAAACGAAATTATAATTTTCTTTTTCCCCCATCCTTCTCTGGCATGACAAGGCAAAAAAAAAAACTAATTTGACATATAGATTATACAAAATTTATGAGTGAAGCATTTTCTATTAATAACCCTGATGTCACTCAAAGATCAAATTACAGTGTGTTAGGAACACCTGATTGATTTACTTAGCGAACGTCCTCTGTTTACAGCGATTGTTTGCATCACAAACATAAATCAATTTCATAGAAAAACACATCTTATCAAATTACATAAAAAAATTAATAACCTATTTCTTAGTTAATATACTGTAGCAGATATGATGCGATTTAATTCCGTTAAAAGATGAAGGGATGCACACCCAACAAAGGTGAAGATGAGCCAATAATTATTTTCTGTAATTAGTTAAACATTTTAAATTAGCCAATCAATCGTAGAATGTGACCTTTTTTTGACATGTGTTAGAATGGTTATTTGAGCAAAAGAGTTCTTTATTGGTCACAAACTAGTCCATCCAAGCAGTTTCGAGGATCACAATTTGCACTGCTTGTACTGTTTCTAAATTGAATATTTGTACACCGTAGCCTTCAGCTACAGTAAAATATGGGCGTTGGTTCGAACGGCTCACTCACAAATGGTTCCAGTGGTGAAACAATTCTAATTTTTCTCGGATAAGGACTTTAAAGTGTATAGGACCAGAGTACGTATTTGGCTTGTGTGCACTTAAACAACCCAGTACATCCGTCGAGAAGTCTAGGGGGTTACCCGGTTTTACCCTGACGAACAGGTCCATTCAGTCCCCTGTTGTTTAATGGATATGCCACGAAGGATAGTGATTACGATCGCTGATTGGCATATCCTTGGCGCTCATTAAATGAAATGAATTTAAATATTTAAATTTCAAGTATTTGTATAATCATTTCTTAAGTTTTTATATATCCTTACATAATTGATGTTGTCTTTCCATATTGTTGATATGGAATTAACATTTTTAATTGATCTGCATTGTCTGTATTGTAATTATTTGGAATTATTTTATAATTAGTTGGTTAGGTAATTATAATATTTTTTTGACTGAATTTTCAAATTTTTAATTATTTTAATAATGTAATAATATTAAGTATATTTTTGTAGTTTTTCCATGTAATATTTTTGTAATTTTTCATTGTATAATTTTCCATATTTTATATTGTATTTATCATCTTTTTATATAAAGGGCTAAACAGAAATCTGCAAATACGCTATATAAATAATTATTATTATTTGTGTGTAGAAAGATCTTTCACCTGCCCTATGGAGGTAATATTTTATACACTGTATTATTAACCCTTTGAACCTGGAAAGCCAGAAAAATGGCCGTGCAATTACGCTGCAATAACCCTAAAAGCCGGTATACTGGCTTTGCAGGTCAGGTGATGTTATTCGGGGTAATCACCTGACCAGTATGAGTAACATGACATAATTTTGTGACATCATCATTCCCAAGTCGTTCTGACAGCCTCATACGTGTTGATTTTTTGGAAAAAACAAATTGATATTGAATAGTTTGACATTAAATGCCAACAAGCTTTACAATTGATACTTTATGACAAGAAAATACTGATGATGATGATTATTTAGGAAGTCATTTGGAAAGTGAAAGTAAGGTAGCTCTAGGCTAGGCCAATCACGATAGTGCTAGTGCCAGCAGTGGTAGTGATGATAGTTGTGCGTTGGGTTGATGGATGGCTATGGTAGCGGTACAGGGCCTAGGAGGTGATGGTGGTGATGATTGTAATAAAAAAAAAGCATATTGTGTCCGAATAACTCAGGGTGATCAGGGTACCGCAAGATGTAAATAATACAAAGTTCAAAGGGTTAAAATTGTTGATTATTTAATATTCGACAAAATATGTGTATATGTGTATGTATATGTATGTGTGTATAAGTGATGTATTAACCAACTTACTTATATTATTAGTATTAGTAATTATTTTTATCTCTATTACTATTTTTGTAAACCCTTTTTTTATTTATATTTCGTTCTACCGCAGTATTTTCTTACTATATTTTATCACAGTAATTAAGTTTTTACTGATTTTGTTATTGTTGCACGTCTTTACGGCTGTGCCTCTGGTATAAAAGAGAAGCAATAAAGTTACTTACTTACTTACTTACTTACTTACACGTTTATATTCATTATTTTTAATTATTATTATTAATTTAACTTTAATTCAAATTTTAATAACAGTACAGACTGAATTTTATGTGTTTCATATTACAAAATAGGTAGAATTCATTAAGCTGGACAGTTAATTAATTAATATAAAAAAATAACGTTAAAAAAAGATCGGCGTTTCGACTCCTTCAAGGTGTCATTTTCAAGATGAAATGATGAAGTATAGAATAGGCCTATTACAGCAACTTATAATCAATAGAAAAAACTAATCTAATAATAATCAATAATAATCTAATAATAATAATAATAATAATAATAATAATAATAATAATAATCTACAATACGTACTCTTATTAGTTAATTGATTGTACAAATTGGCATCGAAAATCACAAGCCTAATTATTACAACAACAAAAATCACTCAATGTAATAAATATAGCATGCAAGATTCACTTTAAAATAGGCAACAAAACAGATTGAAGTCAGAAAAAATAAACACTACTGGATTCAATGATTAAATAATACATTTTAATAATTAAAGACATATGCTATGCTATCAGTAGGCCTACTTTTAAAGATACTCTGTCGAAAAAGTCTGGAAAACTCCTGAAATTCAATAATTTGAATAGCTCATTTGAAACGATCAATTAATTCATTTACATACAACAAGAAACTGATCGAGAAGATTTTGCTGGATTACCTACAGTTTACTACAAAAATGCTTAAGTTGTCATGGTCTTTTATTTATATAGCGCATACCGGTATTACAATACAATGTCTCTATGCGCTTTCAAACCCAGTGTCATGACAAAAAAAAAATCAACAAGAACAAAACAGATTAAAATTGTGAGAAAAGATGCGATTTAAACCGGAATTTAAAAAGGGCCAAAGATGGAGAAGTCCTTACAAAATTTGGTAATTTGTTCAACAACTTTGGTGCAGCAACAGAGAAGGATCTATCACCATAGGTCTTCAACCGACCAGAATGACAATAGAGAGTGGTTGAGTGGTCTTTAATAATTACTCTATATAATATATATAATAAAATATTACAAACTGGCATTTACTTTAAAATAGGCATAAAATAGATGGCCAAATAAAAAAAAAAACAATACGGTACTCAAAAGAGAGAAAATATAACAACAAAACTGCGAATGTTGCAATGATAAGATAACAACAATAAAGTTGCATTTTAAAATCAAAATAACATTAAGCTAAAAGGGAATAGAAAAAAGGTGCTAGGAAAATCAGAAATATTGTGAAACAGAATTTTAAGGAAACAAGAAGAAAACAGCATGCATTGGCTCAAAGAAAATACAATGGAATAGAAATCGCACAGTAACGTTCTGAAAAAGCAAGCAAATCATTCTTTCTTCATATAGAAAAAATCGTAGTGCCACCCAACCCCACCCTCACCCCCATGATTTAATTTACCTCGCGTTTATATTGATACATAGGGCCTAATAATATATATTGTGTTAAAAGTTTGCCTTTGTCACGACCATCACACGTGACGTGTGTAGGTGGTCTACGTGTTTTCTTTTAATACGCGTGGCTTTAGAACCAACGATTTATTACCTATTTATTTCTGAGAAATCTTGAGCAATGAATAAATACTTGTGTAATAAAATAAGAACATGATTGATATTTTTAGTTATACGTAAGCTCTACCCATAATGCTGTCTTAAATTAACATTTTTACAACTGTAATGTTAAACCATGGTCTCAAGATATTACTCTGTAATGTTAAACCATGGTCAAGATTATATATTTGCCGCCCTCTGTAATTCTTAAATTTTGTTGTCATTCGTCAGCGTCGCGCTCGAGTGCTCATGCATTTCTCTGTGTTGACAACTCCTGAGATATTTTTTAAAGTATGTGCAGTAGTGCAGTCAGCTGAAAGAAGGGAAGTTGGTTGGAACTTTTGACTTTTAATTCGGATACATTAATTTTCTTTTTCTATTTGAATGTCTTGCTAGTTCGGTGATAGTTAATGTTATGAATTTATGTTAGTGGAATCAGTACCAGGACGAACGTAAGTCGGTAATTTAACGTGAAATATGTGGTGTTTTGTAAGTGAATCCCCAGCCGTGATTCGAGAGTACCGTGTACCGAAGAACGCACCAGGACAATACCTGTTTGACAAGGTAAGTTAACACACTCAGATGAAGTACCTACTAGCCTAACCACGAACTTTATAAACAAACAGTGTAAACAGTCATTGACATGCCGCCCATACAACTAAGCATATGAAGATGCTAAGCCCCAGGATCTCCTACTAGAGGCCTAGGCTAGAGTCTAGAATAGTGGCCAGCGTAGCTTAGGCCTAGGCCTATTCACACGTCAGGGCATAGCTAGGCTATGCCTGGCCCTAGGCGTATCTCTAGCTAACCTAGAGAGGGGCCAGGCCTAGACTAGTACTAATTTTATTACACTGGTAATGGTAGTACTAAAGGTAGCAGTAGCGGTAAATATGGTCAGTGTCATTGATCATGCATTTTTATAGCGCTTTGCACAATAAAACCCATCTCAAGGCAGTTTTTTTAAGCCACTACTGTATAAATAATCGTGTACTAAGGCTAGGCCCTAGGCCTAGAGAGGCTTACCTACTACTACCAGACCTAAATTTTGTTTGTGTTTGTATGGCATACACTGCACAGAACCTCACATCTGATTCTAAATATATTAGTGCAGGCGCAGGATTCTTTGTGGACCATCCATATATTTCTCCAAGTTCGATTTAAATTTATATTTATTTTTCAATTTATTATTTTTTTCTTATACCTATTTTTTTGTCAGATGACATAAAATAGGTGCGTACAATTTATACTAAAGAGTTTCTAGTAGCATAAAATGTTTTATACGCAGAAATCAAACGGTCTAATGATCAGATTTAACTTCATTTAAAATGATCTACGAAAAGTTTTCAGTTGGGTCAAAAAATGGCAATGTGCTTCTGTACCTCCTCTAAGTGTGAGTTTCTTTGAATTACATTCAAAACAAAACCCGTAAAAGCATACTGTACCTATAACATGGGCAAAACATTACCGAATCAGGCCTCCAAAACACAAACACCATCAACAGACACCTAGACAGGAAAGACCATCTGGATTTATTATATAGGCCTACTGCGGAAAAAAAAACTGAAAACCTGCATCACATCAGAATTCATGTGCAGGCAGGAGTTTAAACAGAAAAACGAAATAGGCCGTCCAAAATGGAAGCCAGTGGGCGTGGCAATGAGCCAATGGGCGGGCCACACCCCCTCCCAAACATAAGGAAAAAATAGAAAATTATGATCTTCAGAGGGCATTTAAAGATGTTTAAATTTTGGAATTTTGTCTTCAAAGGAATAGTTTTGAATTAGCTATCATAAAGGTATTTCAGTTATAGACTTAGATTGCACACGGCTACAGTATGGTTACTCAGCACATAATTTTTCTAGACTATGCAGATGCATCTTCATCTCTTGCTTTAGTCTAGTGTAAATTCTACTCTAGGTCCTTTGAATCAAGAAAAAGGCCTAAACCTACTGTATTTTGTTGACTAATAAAATTTATCTTGTGACGTTAACAACAAATCTTCTTTACAGTATTTCATGAATTAATTATAACCAGAGAGTTACATACGCAACAATATTATGTTCGGGAACCGAATCTCAAGTACTGTATTGTATTTGCAGAGCCACATGCAGGCGTTGTGGGCGACTCAGAACCGTCCATTTTCCAGCGGGATATAAATGTTTTTAACACAACGCGTGTTTGTACAGTAAGTGAACTTTTCACTGGTAGGCAATGGTTAAGCCTTACTTTTTTGGGAATCCCCACCGAATATTGTATGAAAACAACGTACATTCAATCAATAAAGGTAATTTTTATCAAACGTAATTATAATTTAGATTTAGTTTAATGTAACAGTCGATAGATTTGAAGAATATAAAGAATTTGCTAAAGGTAGACCAGGCCCAATTAGGCTAGGCCGAGGTGATTAGGCCAAGCCGTCCAAATCATCACAGTGAAAGTGACCATCCTAAATAATTGTTGGCTGGACGGGTTGCTGGCTAAGTCTATGTGTGCAGGATATAACAATCGGTGCTCGTACTGCTGTAGGCGTTTTGAGGAGAAACCTTTCATCCTGTCCTAGGAGTGTTAAGGAGCGTGCATACCAAGTCCTTTTTCGCCAGTGACGTCATGGTAAAATCGTATATAATCGCCTATAACTTCATAAAAAAAAAGCCAAAAAACGATTTTAAGGTTGATTCTATTATTAATGGCATATAAAAAATCCTCTTTAACACAAAAAATCATTTTGCTAGTTCTCTTTTAAACACGTTCAACTTTTTTTGATACAATTTGATAGTATGTGATATGATGTTATCGTACACATATATGGGCACATCACATTTTTTTGTCACATAAAATTTGATAGTGTAGACAAAACTTTACAAGATAAATTTTGTGCTGGTTAACATCTTTTCCAAGTCTATGTAGAACCATCAAGCCGACCAGGAAGAAGCACCAGCATCCTCAGCTACCAAAATATTCAAAATTGCCAGCCAACTAAACCTGATTTCCAAATATGACTATGCTTGGGCACATCAACTTTTTTTTGGTAAATTATAAATGTATGTTAGTTTTTACATTAAGAAGAAGTAAATTTATTAAAATTATGGTAAGCTTTATTTGATGAATTATGACATTATATAAAATCGAAATAAAAAATAGAATGGAATCGATGGAATTGCTAGGCTCAAGATTTTTAGGAATCTTAAAGGACATTTGAACTATTACGTGCTATGCCTACAGTGCAGTAGTCCTGCATTTTTTGATGGATGAGTGAGAAAGTTAAATTTATATAGGAAAGATTCAATTTATATGCACAAGCATTTCAGTATAATGAAGTATTAGGACACATATTAAGAGGCGTACTGTAGGTTGTAATTACCCACCATGGTGCTTTTTATCAACTTTACTAGAGCTCAAAATGATATAATACTATATTTACCCCCTTGATATACAGTAAATGCCTCTCTAGAGCCTTATTTGGAATAAACTCCTGCCTCGAATGAACGGTCTAAAGCGCTTATTTTTTCCTCGAATAAACAAACGCCCCCTTAAATGACTGTAAACAAATCTTATGGAAGCAACATCATTCTTAAGACAGTAGAATTACATTTTTCATTAAAGGAAAATACAATATTAAGTTCATATATTATTTTATAATTGTTTTTTTGACTTTGCTATTAGTACATACAGTAGTCCATCAGGGTGATTGTAAGTATCTGCAAATTCTGTACTGTGACACAGTATAGTATCGTGCCATGCTGCAGTTGATAACAGACAAATTCCACTTAAAAATTTAAATAAATACATGATAATAAATTTATGCACATAGCAATTTGGAAGGTAATGCAAATATCAATTTTCTGTTTCATAATCATGATGACAGTTGATGATGCCATTCTAAAAACATTTTTTCTTTCTTGCCAGAAAATAACGTAATTCTCTCATGTGATTATACAAACATTTTTTAAAATTTAACAAGAAATGCACTGATTTGTATACTTTGAAGAATGATGACTAACGGCAAGTCACAGTGTTATATTTGTATGACTTTACTGGACAGACTGACTCCCGATTAACTAATTACATTTGAAAAAACAAATGTCATCTGCCCACTGGCATGCGTTCTGTAAATTGTCTACGATTCTCATACTGCATTTCAGGCATTTAAACCTGTTTGTAAATTCTCATCAATGCTACAGAATCAATAGGCATTTTGAAGCATAGCGGTAATCAATGGATTTCATTTAAAGTTAAACACTGTAGGTTGAATGTTATTGATGACTGATGTGATATTGGATTTTCATCAGAGCATGTTGCTACTTATTCATATACCTATATTTAAACCAGTTACTATGTCTCCATATAAACCGGTTAACTGTGCTAGTTAAACCTATTAAAAAGCTGGTAAACTAGTCAAAGTTGCAGTCACACATCAAAGATTGGCATAGTGCAGATTACTGTATGCTTTTTGGCAGTTAAAGTTGTTTAGGCTTTGAAGTGACTATCAAAAAAAGGTAAAAACTATGAAATAGATACTGTAAATATTAGGAATCGTAGGCTACCGTACACAAATCTCGATTGAGTGCAAAATAGTAGGGGGGGGGGGCCACAATTATTTTGGGGGGCATGTGCATCCCCAACAGTACATCCACCACTGCTGAAGATTACTTGTTTTTATTGTTAATCCTAACCAACTTAGTTTAAATTTTATCTCAATTTGTTAATTTTCTTCAGTTGTCTTTATATTTAAAGGGTATATTTTTTTTTACCAAAACCCCATTGAATTATCCTATTGTAATGGCAAACAGGTAAAAATCCTCAATGGTCTAAATGATGGTACTATGTCCTTTTGATTCTATGTAGCAAGAGCAGTTTTCTTATCCGAGAACGTAAAGTGGGACGTTGCATGATGCACTGACCTGCTTCCATGAAAAGGTCATTAGACAAGATTGATTCACTCTATTATCTAGTAGAACAATGTTCATTACACCTTATGAAGTAATTAAATATGGATGACAATAAATGCTGACCTGATGGAATAAGGATGTAGTGTACAGTAACTGTCGAGTCAATAAAGTCATTTTTTAAGTGCATTATTTTTTTTTGGTCAAACCGAATTGCGCATGTGTACAGTACATTCTCATTCATTCTGTTGTCGTGTGTACACGTGTTTAAACATGTGATAAATATTTGAAAATCAAGAACCACCACTAGCCTATGCCTATATCTGAGCCATGACCATTAAAAAGTCATTTCAACAACATCTAAAAGTGACCAATGACAGTGTACTATTGTTCTAAATCAAAATATAAGAAATTGTTTCTTGTCTGCCCTGGTAATGTACCCTAATTGACCTCCATGAATGGAACAAGAAAATAAATCCATAGGATTTGTGAAAGTGTTTTTGTGAAAAGGCAATCTGTTCTACAGTAAGCATTAGGTTTTTAGTTCCACACCATGTAATACTCAATCCACTGTGATCGCTGCTTACTGACGGACGTCGCTTTTTGACTTGAAAACAGAACACTGACAGAAACCTTGAGAGGCCTAGCAGCTTACAGACCATATAATGAGTTCCATAA